TGCCAAAGCTGTTCATTAAAGAGGAGACTTTCTCCAGGAAGTCACCTATTTCTTTTACAGCATTGATAGTAAAGTTTACAGTTCTTATCATTAGCTTTAGCATATCATTTAATTCAGGAGGAAAACATTCAGCTTTGAAACAGCTGGTCTCTGTTTTCTTAATCTCCTTCAGTTACAGCTGAACCTTTTTTTGACTTCATGCTCTCATTTAACTGTTCGTTATCTGCAGAGGTTGTCATTTGTTTGTCCCCACTGTTTTTTTGCTTACTCTCCCTGTCTGCATCTTCTGCTAGGGGAGTGAAAGAATTAAATACAGGAATGGCAAATGTATGTTCTGACTCCACGGGGAAGAATTCCATTATTTTGGTTTGCTTAGAGGCAGGGAGAGAGAGTTTGTCCTCTTTATCACCATCACGAAGGCGTTTCCCCGCACCCATTTTCTCTGCAGAGAGCTGTTAGTAAAAAACTCACCACCTCCTCCTCCTGATATCTGTACTTGTGGCTTGAAAACTCCGGTCCAAACAAAACTGCTATGGAAGAAAGTCACTTGACTACAATATGTCTGATGAGCAGAGAAGACAAGCATTCATAAACATCTCCAATGTTGTCAAACAATTGAAGGCTGAGGGAGATTGTTACTAGCGTTGCTGCTCCGACACCGTCTTAGAAAGAACAAGACAATAGACTCTAATGTATATTCATTTTTGTATATGTTTATTTTTTTCTGTAAATGGCTTAAAAACGTATAAATAAAACTTTTTAAAAAACACATTCCGATACCTCAGGGCAATGCAGTACTGTCTGCAAAGTCATCCCCGAATGGCCATACAATGGCCATAAATATATGCAGAAGGTACAATAAAATCCGACAAAGAACTCGAAAATGGCATGGAGTGTGGAAGCTACCATAAAACCTGATAATCAAAGGAAGTGAAAGCAGCATGCAATGTAGAGGGGAATTTCTGTTCCAACGCGGGTTTCATAAAACAGCGGAGGGAAAGCCAATGCAGAATCAGCCCTAGTCTACTCAGACTGGAAAAGGGTCTTCAGGTGGAGGTCTTTCATATCACCTACTAAAGGTAACGGTTCCCTTGCTCGAAAGCCAGTCGAGTCCGACTCTAGGGTTGCGGTGCTCATCTCCGTTTCAAAGCCGAAGAGCCAGCGCTGTCCGAAGACGTTTCCGTGGTCATGTGGCCGGCATGACTAAACACCAAGGCACACAGAACGTTGTTACCTTCCCACCGAAGTGGTACCTATTTATCTACTTGCAATTTCTTGCTTTCGAACTGCTAGGTTGGCAGGAGCTGGAACTCGAGACGGGAGCTCACTCTGTCATACGGCACACTCGGGTCTCGAACCGCTGAACTACCAACCTTCCACAGCCTGCAGTTCAGCGTCTTAACCACTTGAGCCACTGCAGCACCTTTACCTTTTAACACCTACTACCAGATCCTTTAACTGGAGATGCCAGGGACTGAGCCTGGGACCTTTTGCACACCAAGCAGATGCTTTACCACTCAGCCATAGCCCCTTCCAAAACCTCGTCAGTGATCCGTTCCTATTTAGCAATTTCCACAGTGATTTTACTCCCAGTGCAATCCTGTGGTTTTGGTTATGCCGACAGCCACTAATACTAATGTGGTTGGAATTCTAGGCATTCCCAGCTGCAAAACAGGATGAAAATTATGCCACTTTGAACAGTGGAAGGAACAGGGTAGTCCCATGTGGCCGGTGAAGAAAACAAGATTTGGTAAAGGAGGGGACCAGATGCACAAGCCACAATGGAAGCCACAACTGTGTGGACTCAGGAAATGACAGACTACTCTTCTGCCCCAAGATGTCAAATGGTGTTGAAACCTGATCCTTTTTTGCCTGCCAGCAAATCCACCACACACTGCCAGGAGAGTGTCTTTAACACCATGACTGGAAAAATCTGCTTTTTCAGTTAAAGAAATCTGCTACATCTGGCCTGATGAAGAGTTCTGGAGAACTTGAAAGCTCATACCCTGTTCTGCGTCATTGGGTTGGTTCTGATAAATGTATTGCATGGATTAAGTTCTCGGCTTTTGGGATTTTACTTTTGCACCAGTACGGCTATAAACAACTTGGAAGACTTCTGGATGCCTACTTAGAAGTCATCAGATTACAGGGGCAAAAGTAGAACTCACTGCTCACATTCCCCTTCTCTAAACCTACTGCCAGGCACCATGGGCTCCTGAACCCAAAATGTAAATCTCTGAAGCTGCTGGCCCATTCTGCTTTGGACCACAGCACCCCTCCCCAGGTGGACAGCAGAGGAAGTGCACCCTGTTTAGAAATATCTAGTGAGAGCTGCAGCCATCTACCAACTCCAATAAGATCTAGCCTGGAGATATAAAGCTATAAGGTGAGCAATTCATTCACACATACGTACATGGCCCAGGCCTCACTTCTGCTGAGCTCTGTGCTCTCCTTGCCTGCCTCTGGGCCCACTGGGATGGATTCCACAGGCCTGTTCTGCTATCAAAGCTGTTTTCATCCGGCAGGAAGGAGTCTTCTTCCCCGGGAACTTTTTTGGGAAGTCTGTCGGAATTCCAAGACTTCTTCCTTGGGTCTCTCACTGCCCATTCAAATCCCAACGAAGTATATGTGTGGTTGGTGTAAAAGTGCTTCACTGAAAACTTACTGGAACTTCATTTGTCATTCTACTACTCATTCATTGTGCTTGGAGAGATCCTTTTGGAGTTCTTCACAGGTTAGCTTCTGCCTTTGCCATCCTAAATAATTTTGAATCAGCCATAAGACTTTACCAATGTGGCCAAGTTCCAGATACCTTATGACTGAAGGCGAAATAACATAAGCCCCAATAAAGACCCCCCTGCAGGACCCTTCCCTTTTTTGTGAGAACTGTTTTCTCCAATCCTTTGTTCCCCTTACTTTAAACAATTACTAATCCACAGAAGAGCCCATCCTCTTACCCCCTAACTGCCAAGTGTATACCCTTGAAGAAATTTCTCAAATGGTTTTTGGAAGATTAAGTATGTAACAGCCGTCACATCACCCTTACACACCAATTTGCTACCGCATGCAAAGAACTCCAAAAGGTTGGTGTGATGGACTTTCCTTTATAGGAACCTTCCTGGCTCTTCCCTAAGCAAGGCTGCTTGTCCTTCCATAAACATAACTATGTATTTAGTTACACTTTTCCCACCAGTTTCCACTGTGGGTCTCTTGAAGGTTACCTTGACCACTTTTCAGTCCTCTGCTCAGGAGGCTGACTTTAAAGACACTTGGTGTTCAAAAACAAGGGAATCTTGTTGCACTTTAAAGACTAACACATACGTTTCTGAGCAAGCCATTTCATAAGATTCATGAAGTGCTGCATCTAAATTGACAGACATGCAGTTATTACACAAAGTGAGGTTAGAAATTACAGGTATTTTATGACACAGAAGCATTTTCTGGCACAGCAAACAGAGAGAAACAAGAGCTGGTCGACAAAACAATCCAATCACTTCAGTGATGACTTGGCAAAGTGACAATACCAGCTAACAGAGGGATGTCTGGGGATCCCTTCAGTAAATGCTTGAGGGTATGGCTAGAGAGAGCGCTGTTAACGGTGCACTGTAACTGACAGTCAGTGGCTCTTGGTTAGTTTCTTTGCACTGTGCCTGGAGAAGGTAACTCCTGGCACACACCTGGCCACACTGAACTCCTTCTTCACTGTTTTGAACAGGTTCACTGGTTGGACTGGAACCTGCAGCACAGCTAAATATAGGGAACACTGAGCTTGGTGCCCCCCCCTCCATGGAGCACAACACTACATATGCGTGTAATGGAAAGCTGCCCCATTCAATTTGTCTCAGGTTCCACAACACTTCATTTATTCATTTAGTTTACAGTTTGCCTTTCTCACCGAGACTCAAGGCAGCTTAGAAAATACAACCAGGCATCTTTTGCTATCCTGGCTGCAGAACTCACCTGACTGCAGAAGATTCACCTACCTCCCCTCCACCCCAATTATTTTCGTTCACAGATTGGTGAGCTCTGTTTAATGCATTAGGAATTCTCTGGTGTCCACCAGCTTGACCCAGTAACTTGTTAACTGACCTAATCAACTCTAGAACCACACCAGTAGCTCTTTCTGTAGATGAAAAGATGTAGTTTGAAGCACTATACAAGAAAGAGGATAGAACAAATTTAGCATTTCCTCCCTCTCCCCTTTTCAAACAAGGATGGGATGGGGGGGAAGAAAAAGACTTTCACAAAGACTTTTTTCTTGAACTGTTTTATTCTGGCTTAAAATAAAAGCCCCACTCTTCTGTAGCAAGGTACACCGAAGGTATGACATGCTGTTCTTTACCGGGGTACAAACACACCCCAACTAGTAAACCCAAAGGACTGGTGGGTAAGATGAAACTAATTCATACCTTCACAGCACATCTCGTTGGTATTTACAATTTTATCTTGTTTAAATAAAACTTGGGACACCTCAGACAGTATTACATCGTTATTGCAACAGGACAGGACTTGCCTTTTGTTTAAAAAACCCAAACTGTTCAGTATGATGATTTGTGGATCCCAAAAAGGCATTGTTAACATGCAAAATATTACTAAACAAGAGTATCTAAATTCTACATCTGCCAAATACGTGACCCCATAAGGAAACCAATTACAAAATACTTTCCTTTGTAGTGCTATACAAAAAGATATAAAATTATGATTCTATCAATCACTTTTAAATATCCCCATTTCCTAACAGTGCAGTTATCCACATCTGATCACTACTGAACATTGAGAAAGAAACCCCCCCAGCAAATTAAGATTTAAAAAAAAATGCTTTAATCTTTGGATCCCTTTATTCCTGTGGCTTTCATATACAAATACAAACACAAATTACCAGATTACTGTATCTAATATAACTTAATATCAAAAAAAGGAGAAGTCATTAAACTAGTTATTCAGAATTGGTGTACAATTACTTCATACCAAATCACCTGTGGGATACTGTCTAAAAAAATGAACATTCAATGTCTCCAAGCTACAGTCCATCAAAACTCAAGCAATTTCAAACACTAGGAAATTCACTTTTAAATTGAGTATGTCAACAATATTAAAACAAGAGCCAACGTTTCAAGAATTGATACATGGAGACTTTTCATTTTTATGTCAGGCACAAAAAGGAGTCTCAGAACTTGCGTGACTGGGTCACCAACCTTTCAGCTGGATTAGTTAACGCAAATCGCAATGTGAAGCGTCTAGGCTTGTCTTGATTGACAGAGGACTTTAAATTTGGTCAAACCCTTTGATATGCCAGAAACTTACGAAACCAAATTTCTTCCCAAGACAGAATAGTTTTATGCAGGTTTTGTTATCACGGAAGAACATTTTCATTTTTTTTAAATTTGAAACAAAATATAAAAACCAAACAAGTTTAAAGCCTGAAAAGCTACAAAGAAAAAAAAACCTGAAACAAACTCTTATGTGTGTCTTTTAGTGTCTCAACACAGCAGGTCTGTTGACTTAAAAATGTTTTATCCTTTTAAAAAATTAGTCGCTTTTTATACAGCTATACAAAGTTCTTCAATGTTTCTTTGGCAATGGGTTAATCATGGAATTTTACAACTATAAAAAGTTTTCCTTTGCCCAAGAAACAATATTTACTGTGTTTACATTTTTTTTGACTGACAAATCAAGTTGTCTACTGCCCAGCACCCTATCTGACAAAAAGTACAACTATTTCAGAAAAGGGATCTTACAGGAGTCCCCAAAACAACCTTCAATGGATCAGCACACTCACAGTACTGACGGCCTTCTGCATACTATTGTCTTTGCAACCTGCAGCAATCAAATACAATTCAGTTAAGAAAAATCTTTTCTGTGATGAAAAAAATACTTAAACGCCATTGACATACTGCTTTATAGCTTAACTATATGTAAGAAATTACTTATTTTTCTATCGCAAATATATTTAACGCTCGTTGTTTCTGAAGATGGCATTTCTTCCCCCAAAACGGTTACTGCTTCAAACCCCTTTGAAATTAAAAAACAAACCCTATTGCTGGTGACGAGTTTTACAGCAAATTAAGTCAATTTCTTTGCAAAGACCGACACATTCTCTGGACTACGAAGATCTGTAAGTCCACCTGGCTTTCAACTTCCTTGTGGGCTATGCGGCAACCTTGTTGTCTTTCTAAAAAATAAAAGACACCCCCCCAAAAAAAACATTATGTTACTTACTGTTCAACCAAACATGTAATCAAATTAAATCAAACACGCAGGGGCCAAGCTAGAGAAGGAGGGATAGCAGAACTTAAAGCTGTGCCTAACTTCCTCTGGACTGCACTGGCAATCATTTTTTAAAAATGTGAAATCTCGTTTTCCAGATGCCAGAATCCAATTCCTTTGTTTTCCAGATGCCAGAATCCAGTTCCTCTCTATCCCAAGTAGGCCTGGTGCAGGAAAGCCTTCAAAGGGCTGCAAAGTGCTTTGCAACTCTTAACACTACACAAGGCTTCCAGAGACCTTTCTCGACTCGACCACATGCAGGGCGTGAAGTGAGCTCCTTGCTTGGCTCTATGCCTGCAGCTAATGAAAAAGTGGTCAAGGTGGATCTGACAGTTGCTGCACTGCTGATGATGAGAACTTCCACAAGGTCAGCTTTTGGTCCTAAAAAAAGGTTCTGCCTCATTTGCTTTTACAACAACGTAATGGCTGAATTCCCTTGTCATGCTTTTCAAACCAGAATTGTGAAAGAAATGGAGGCTTGTGTTGATATTAATTTGATAGCTGAGAAAAAGTTCCATCTATTTAACTTCCCCCGGGCCACGACTGCTGGGTTGAGGTGAGGGCCTTTTTGTCAGGCTACAGTGTTTGCAGAGATTTTTTTTTTAAAAGGGAGGGGGGGGAAAGCTTTGAGAAAAGAACTACGTTACCCTGTATTCAAAATCTGCAAACTCCCTGCCACCACGTCCACCTCGGAATCCACCACGAAACCCCCGAGGGACGTTGAAGCTTCCTCTGCTGCCACCACGTCCTCTAGCACCTCGGAAGCCACCAACTCCGCTACCACTTCCTCTCCCTCTGAAGCCCCCACGGCCACGGTTTGGACGCAACGGAATCCCAAATGTCTCTGCATTTAATCTTCTTTCTTCTGCCCAGGTAGGTCTTCGTTCTCTGAAACATATGAGAGAAGGAATCCTTACTTAGGTCTACTAGCTATTAATTATCTGAATAATGTTTTGAATTAGAGCAAATCTCATTGATGTCTTGTCACCTTTTGGATACAGTTTGGGAAGATTGCCCACACAGTGCGCTGACTACCCCCAATGGGCAGTACCTGTTGTCATCACAGGAGATGTTATCAAAGAAAGACTTGGTTTTGTCGTAATAGCAGTTGGGCCCAAGGGGGTCATCTTCGTCTGCATTTCCTTCACTGTTCTGGGTGTCGACACCTGAGTCACCTTTATCCTCCCCGTTTACTGGCTTTTCTGGTTTATCTTCTAGGAGGGTGGAAAAAGGGACAACAACAATACCGCAGAAAGGAAAGGATATTTTCAAAGTAAGGCAAAAAGCGAATTGAGAACAACATCAACCTAACGGATGCACAATTCAAAGAGTTCCAGTCAAGATCCCTTATGGCTCACCTAAGTGGGCAACCCTGTGACAACACCTGGCTCCATTATGGCCCACGTAAATGTGTGTGTGTGTGTGTGTGTGTGAAAACACAGCCCCTCAGCTATTCTCTAGGCCGAGAGGTGGTGTTCTAATCCCTACCCCCAGCTGGGCAACTCAGACTCCCCTGCTGTGTTGCATCCCCTTAAAATCCACTGGGATCCAACAGAGGTATTTCTTGCATCTGCCAATAAATTGTGCAAGACATTTCTCTGTTGGATCCCAGGGATTTGCAAGCACTTGGATTAAAATGGGAATCTCTCGGAGTGTGTTCGCTCAGAACGCTGCTCAGAGGTGGTGTTCTGCATCTAGCCTCCACCCAAGTCCTCACCAGGCACTCTGTGACTGTCTTTTTTGTGGTTCATCAGAATGGAACGAGAAAAACTGTTAAACATCTCACAGTTACCAGGCCTTCCCAGAAGACGATATGGTGAGCTTCTGCAAACTATTTTAGTATTGGTTACAAAAGCTTTCCTTGCACAACTGGAATCTTGTTGTTACTGGCTCTATACTGATGTAAGTAATAGTCAAATGATATCTGGGCTGTTTGAGTTAGAGTCAATGAAAGAATGCTACTCTCCACACATGATTACAGTCTACTACATTTTGGCAGATTACAAGCAGAATAAAATTATTTACTTACTTGATTTATACCTTGGCTTTTCCCCAGTGGGGACCCAAAGCAGCTTACATTATTCTCCTAATTCTGCATTTTACCCTTACAACAACCTTGTGAGGTAGGTTAGGCTGGCCCAGTGTCACCCAGCAAATTTCAACATACTGCAAAATTACTTTCATTTTTAAACCATATCCCAATACTTCTACAGAAGGTTCAAATTCATTTGTGGCCTACAAGACAGTCATTCATTGGTTGGAGGATAAATTCGCATCTTACCTTTCAGTTTCAGCTTGTTGTGAAATTCACGATCTATTTCCTCTTTATTGAACTGAGCATTTGCGCTTTCAAAATCAAAGTCTTTCTCAAATTTCATTGGAACATCTCGCCTGATACCGAATCTTCCTCGACCTCCACGATGACCCCCGCGGCCTCTTCGTACCGGAGGTGCCCCTGGAATTGGGAAAAAATTGTTTTTGGAAGGATCTACAACAAAATGTTGCAACAAAAAGCAATTCCTATTCTGGTAAGCGGCACCTCAATCTTAATATCATTACCATAAAAACTGACGGCTATATCCTGCAGCTGATGTTATCAGACAGTATCAGGCATTGGGGAAACAACACACCCTGGGTATACTTTCAGCCATTAGACCATCTCTGCTTACCTAACCCAGTTTAAAAGGCACAGATTCAGCATCTGTGGCAATGAGTTTCACAGAATGAAATGCTGTCCTCGCTCCAAATTTACTGCTTATCCCATTTCAATGCCTGACTATACACTTTTGTTTTTTTCCCCAGGAGAATCAACAGACTGTTTTCCCCTGCTCACTTACTAAAACCTCTACTGTGTCTTTGATCTAAGCCCAAAAGTCTTGCTTTTCCTTCCTAAAAACCAACAGTTTACCACCACCACCCCTAAATCCTCAGAGACACAGTCGTTTTCATCTGTCTAAAGCCAGAAATGCCTGCTTTGGAAATGCACCACAGCCCTACAAAAATTGGGAATCAATTTTGACTCCAGAGTCAGTATCAGAAATGAAATAAATAATCATTATAGTTCTTGCTATTTTAATTTTTAACTCCTTAGCTTCATTTGCTTTTTTCACTACTGTTCTACACTGAGTTGGTGTGAAGGGAAAGAACATAACACTGGCACTGGGATTTAGAGCTGCCACTGTGGCTACTAGTAGCCACTGACAGACCTATCCTGCATTAATCTGTCTAATCCCCTTTTAAAGCTGTCTATGCCTGTGGCCATCACTACATCCTCTGGCAGAGAATTCCACATTTTAATCACTCGATTCCCACTTGGTCCCAGAATCTTAATTCTGGAATCGTAGCAACCGGCTTGAAGCCCTCCTGTGTTCCACACATTTAGGGTCACCCACCCTGATATGCCGCAGCACAGTGAATACAGCATCTCCTCTGCTGTTTCCTTGCACACCCTTCTGCATTTAATCAACCCTCTTGAGACACAAGCCCATCTGTCCACCTCCAAGAGAGCAAGAGAAGGGGGAAGGCAGGCATCCTCAGTGCATGAAGAGAACAGGGGGAGGGGGAAACTGCAGCACACCCTTGCCCACAGCTGCCTGTCCTCTGTGGATCACACTGCCAGAAGATGCCCTGCACACCTATCGGCATGTTCATTTCTAAGAAAAAAATGCAAAACTGTCCACCGTAATAAAATTAGTCAAGAGGTGGGTGACATTGTCTGAAAATGACAGAACCCAAGAAGCGCTCTTAAGCACTGGAGAAGCTGCTTCCGGAATATCACATACAAACAAAGCTGCCTTATATTCAATCAGACTGTTGGCCCATCACAGTCAGTACTATCTACCCAGACTAGCAGTGGCTCTCCATGATCTCAGGCAGAGGGCTTTCACGTCACCTACCGCCAGATGCCTTTCAGTGGAAATGTCAGGGACTGAACCTGGAACCTTCTGCATGGAAAGCAGACATTATACCCCTAAGCCACAGCTCCTCCCTTTACGATGTTAGTGTGTTTTGGTCATGATACCCCTTTACCATAGGCAAAATAGTTATGTCTGTTTACTAGGGGGTTTACTAGGGGATTCATTTTGAAATGTTGCAAATGGTTTTGGGGGGGGGGGGAAGGCTTCAATTAAGTGCCACTCTTGAGTCTCTGTCAGGTTTTGCTTTCTCAAATAATCTGGCAATCTCATTATTCCTCCCCCTTGCCTATCACATGATAGAAGTGACCTTTAGCTATTCACCCAGAAGCATGAGAGTCCACATCCGTGAGCAGCTCCTGATAGCCTAGAAGGAATGTTACATAGCCAGCCACATTGATGGGGCCTGATGCGTCATTTCCACAAAGTTAATACCCCACATGCCTGGTCAGTCAAAATGTTTTCCCAGCTGTGGGGGTAGATGTTCTAATTTATTCCATGGACTTGGTCCCAGATCACAGTGCACATAACAAGCCCGTATTCCTTTCATCATTCACTGCTGCTACTGAGGCAGATCACAGTGCACATAACAAGCCCTTATTCCTTTCATCATTCACTGCTGCTACTGGGAAGAGCTGGGAGCTGAAGATTCAGCATCTGCCCAGGGAATGAAAGCCTCAGCCCTTGGGACAAACATCTGGGGACTCTTTGCCCTGGTTGCTAGGCTTGCACACTTGCTGGGATGGGGGCAAAGAACACATGCTGTTTCACCCATGGTTATTGCATATTAACTCTTGTTGTTAAGAGGCCTGGAGAGAAACCTAGTATATCTAACCCCCCCCCATGTCCTTCACTACTACTTTTGAAAATATTTCCCCCCTCTGCATTGTATCTAAGTATTCTTATGCTGTGATTTGCCTTAGACCTGCTATCGGACAGAAAGATGACAAATACTTCAAATGGCTGCTCCCATGGGGCCGGGAGGGAGAAGTTAAAATGCACAGGGCTCATTTTAGAACTAGATTCCATATTGAGCCATTTCTTTCCCTTTAAAAAAACAAAACAAAACAAACCAAGTCTCTATTCTGCTAGAAGGCATCTGACCCTTTTGGGGAATTTCCGTCTCCTGCAGTGAAAGATCTCTTAAGTATCATGTATCACATGATTCAGGATGTACATCCTCATTTAAGAAGTGTTTAAAGGGTTAAGATTAAATAGGATGAATTTAAACTGACTTCACTGGTGTCAAAGCCTTTATTACAGTCATAGACCAGTATAATAGATAACAAATAAGTACAGATAAGGAAGCAATAAAATTCTAAAATATTATAGGATCTAAAATTATAAATAAGAGCTAAAAATTTTAAAATACAGACATGATAAAATCAATATTAAGATCAGAAATTAGATTTAGGCCTATCTGTACTTTATTTCTTTCCTAGTTTGGTATGCCAACCAACCAAATTTGGCAACCATCCTAGTCAGCTTTTGGTTATCCCCTGCCAGCATAGTTGACAAAAGTATGCTTCTATTACGACCTGGAAAGGAATTAACTATTCCCAAGCCACATATACAACTTTTCCTCTGTGATCTAGTATATCTGGCCTCCATTATGGCTGAGGGTAAGGCATTGTATCTTAATAGGGTAAACATTCTTCTATGGTTGCAAATATCTAAATATTTGATGTAAGATCTCAAAGTTATCTTGTTAAGTGTACTTACATCAATTACAGGACTCCTAATCCTGCTCACATCCATCTGTCATTCAACATCTAATATTCTTTGTTTTAGAACTGATCTAGCCTGCTCATGTCCCAAAGACAGAATAAATTGTTTTGAAAAACCATAACAGACCAGTTTATCTTCTATCTGTTTCCGCCATAAAGGAACAACATTGTCTTGCATCTTAGTATGGGAAAGGCCAGTAGATAAGAAAATCAGTTTTAACCAATAATGGAATGCAGCAATCCACAATCTTGCCTCCACCGTGACCAGGCCAGCCTCTAAGCTGATTGCAGCGTTTGAAACACTTGTTGGGACTTGAAAACTGCACTGGTGTTCTGACTGTCTCATACTTTGCACCTTCTACCATTAGAATCACACACTTGTTCTACAGTCACCTACTCCAGAGGTTTTTACCTGCTCTCATGAACCTGGCTTTCTTTACGGTCAAAACCATCAACAAATAGGCTGGATAACAGGACCCCAAATTAGCCAAGTTCCCTACAATACTTAATTTCAAGGGTCAATGGAGAAGATCAGGATAACACTTTGTAAAGTCATAAAAGCACTACTACATTTTACTTTTAACAAAGTATTTAATTTACCCAGTTGACGTTTATCACTTCTCAGCTGCTCTGCTTCGGATCTTGAAAACTTGTGTGCTTCAGCTAGGGATGGAGAATAGTGCAGGTAACATTTTGTTGTTCTTCACATTTTGTACATGCTAACAGACTTTGCGTTATTCTACATATTTGAAGGAAAAAAAGCAAACGAGAGCTAAGCGAAAACCCATAGGGAACTGCAGGAGGAAGAAGGAAACCTACCCAACTGTACTCTGTCCCCAGTGATCACAAGGTTGAGGTTGGGAAGAACAGAGGATGCTCCTCCTACGGATCAAGCTCACTTCCCAGAAGGCCAAAGGCTAGCCCCTGCATGTGCCCACGTGCAGTCAGGGAAAGAAGTGTGCATGTGTAACTTTTGCTTCCCAATCACCTTTCCTTTAAAAAAAATATAGGGGTCTTTACCATCCCTACCTTTCCTGATTCTCTCTTTTGTGCCTTTTGCACTCACGGCTAGACACAATTTTATCTGGGGCTTTTCAAATTTTAAATTCAACAAACCTGATCTGCCACAGAACCCCAGGCCTCTTGTGCCTCGTGCTGACCCACATGAACCAAGCATGTGTCCTACCGCATCACACCTGGCGGTGCAAACAGGATGCAAACAGTAGGCCAATACTTATTCAGGAAAGTCTATCCACCATTCCTGAAAGACCCCTGATAATTCTCCAAAGAACCTCCAAGGCGCCTCAGAAAAATGTGAATACCATCAAGGGAGATTAACAGCTCTACAGGATTTATTACAAGTATCTTGAAGGGGGTACCCACACATCATAGGAACATCACCACCAAATTATTTAAGAGGAAAGCGGCTTGCAAAAAAGAATTGACAAAATTTAAAGCAACACGTATCCAGGAGCTTTACCTCGCCTGTGCTCCTGATTTTCTAAGGATTTTTGGTTAGTGGATGCCAGAGGCCTAGCTGAAACAGGACTCCTGCGCCCAACTGGTGCTGATGCAGGTAAGTGGGCCGATGTGGTCTGTACTGCTTGCTCCAGGATCGGGCTCTTTCTCAAATGGTCTAACTGAGGACTGGTACGACCTGAAATACAGCAAGAAGTAACAGTTCCTTATCCCTGTGTTCGACACAGGAGCTGTTTTGAAGTCTGCTAATCCAGGTTGAAGGAGTTATCCACCTTGCCCAGTCAAGACACTAATATCCAAAGACAAAATGTTTCTGTACCCTTAAAATGCACTACTCTATAATGGTGGGATGTAGTGATATACCTCTCCTCCAATTCAAGAGAAAGAAACCGTTAGTAAGGCAATTAATCCTTACTGATACAGCTACTGACAATTATCTCAGTGACAGGAAAGCCAAAAAAAATCTTTCCACTTCAATTCAGTCCACATAAGACAATTTCTGGAACAGGAGCTATTATCTCTAATTCATTAATGTCAGGGTTTTTTGGAACAGCAGAATCCAAAAGTAAGCAGTATTTCAATGTTTTCTTGCTTAACAACTTAAAAGTAACGCAAGCAGTTTTCTATGCTTGTTATATCTGATTAGGTTAAAGAGTAATGAATTCTCCACATCTCTCCTTATATATAATTGAGTAAGACGCAAAACTCACGCACGGGAGAGAAAATGCGCCCCTACAGTGTGTGGCCAGCTGACTGGTCCCTCACGACCTTCCCCGCTTTCCATTGGCCGTGTCCCGTGGCTCCCACCTCCGACGCAGCGTCTCGCCTCTGAAACTTCAGGCGGGGTGGGGGGAGACAGCGCGCTGGAAAGCAGACGCCTGGATGGCCAGGGGCCGCGCTCTCCTGCCTGCCTGCCTGCCTGCCTGCCTGCCGCCCACTCCTCCCTGCTCCCGCTGCCGCCTCCGACTCTTCAGCCTGTGCTGCGGCCGGGGGGCCCGCGCTCGGAGGCAGCCAGCCGCCCGCACAACCCACCGACAAACAGCCCAGCGGGGGGGGGCCCTCTCCTGCCTCCCTTACCTCCGTCTACCGCTGCCGCCTCCTCCTCTTCAGCCTGGCAGCAGCACGGCACAACGTGGTGCTACCGTCGGGGCTGCGCCGTCACCTCCTGACCCAGCGCGGATGGGGCACGGTCGCTGTGCCTATGCGACACAGCAGAAAACGGAGCGGGGAACAGCGGCGCCTGCTACCCCCTCACGCTGCTGGGGCCTTTGCAGGGAGACGGGGCCAGGCAGGAGCATACAGCTACTGACAATTATCTCAGTGACAGGAAAGCCAAAAAAAATCTTTCCACTTCAATTCAGTCCACATAAGACAATTTCTGGAACAGGAGCTATTATCTCTAATTCATTAATGTCAGGGTTTTTTGGAACAGCAGAATCCAAAAGTAAGCAGTATTTCAATGTTTTCTTGCTTAACAACTTAAAAGTAACGCAAGCAGTTTTCTATGCTTGTTATATCTGATTAGGTTAAAGAGTAATGAATTCTCCACATTTACTTTATAAAGATGCAGCTTAATAAACACAGGCAACCAAGAAAAATCATCCCTAAAAAGGATTCAAAAATTTCATTGATGGGTAGACAAAGTCTTCAGCCCAGAGTATAAAATTGTTCTCAGCAGCAGGAGACACAAGCTTAACACAGTAGAAAGTGGCAGAGAAAAACTTTTGCCTTTTATTTTACCTTACAGTGTCTCAATGATCCACAACATTAGTAGCCATATGAGTAATTTCCTGTTAAAATTTAGAGTCAGCGTCTCTTCAGTGTAGGACTAAGAATCAAGTGTTACCACTTCCACCCCACTAATGTTTACAGTTGGCATAAAATCCATCTTGCAGTAAACCAAACATCACTGACAGCCTTTCCCCCAATGGATGCAAAAGCACAGTACACAAGTAACCATTTTATTTTATTCCATTTAAATTAAGACATGGGGATGCAAGCAAGCATGAGAAGGACAGACATAAAATTCAACATAGTAAAAGCCTTTACCTTGAGAGAGCTGTGTTTTTAATGATCGTGCATCTGTCGTAAAAGTGGAACCAACTGCACTACTTTGAGACAAGCTCGCATTGGCCGATGTTTCAGTGCCAAACGATGTCAATGAACTTCCTGCATGGTGAAAAACAAGATAAGTGCACGGACTCTAATCTGGGAGAACCGGGTTTGATTCCCCACTCCTCCACTTGCACCTGGCTGGATGACCTTGGGCAAGCCATAGTTCTGATAAGAGCTGTCCTTGAAAAAGAGCAGTTTCTGTCAGAGCTCTCTCAGCCCCACCTACCTCACAGGGTGTCTGTTGTGGGGAGGGGAAGGGAAAGGAGATTGTAAGCCACTCTGAGACACCTTTGGGTAGTGAAGGGCGGGGTATAAATCCAATCTCCTCCTCTTCTTCTAAGTCAAGTCCAAAGCTTTAAGTAGCACACTTTTTGTCATTACACTGTTAAGATCCCATCTGCATGAATGACAATGAATTTGACACTAGCACAACTGTCCAGGCAAATACAAGGTGGAAAATTTTCCACATTTTTCCCGCTGCTGTATTTTTCTGGGGAAAAAATTCTGCTTTGCCTATAGTTGCCAGGACTGTTGTGCTGCAATTCAGTATGAAGCACATATATATGAAATGTTGGATATGAAGCACAAAGTCCATTGCTTGTACATAGTCCAGCCTTGTACATGGTATATTTGCCTTCTTTTGTTAACATTCTTTATATACGTATATTTGGACTGGAGCAAATACCACTGTGTCAAGGCTTAGTCCAAGTAGCCCCAACATGTATACAATGTGTGAGGAATTCTCTTTTGTTGAGCCTGCACTACCCACAGAAGCACAATTTCCAACATGCCATGATCATTCTGGTAGTTTGTGACAGCAGTGCAGACACAGCCCAAGACTAAGGGACAATCCCCTCACAACTATAATGGCTGTTTGCTGGACTAAAGCCAGATATACATAGACTTTAGTTATGCTTGCATTTGGCAAAGAATCCCTTCTAGGGAAACATCCCTAAAGCAGCTAATGGGGCCACTCAAGTGTAACTAATCACTGTGCCGAATAAAACATGCACATTCCTCTTAAAAGCAATTAAAGAAACAGAAAGAGTTTTTGAAAGCTCCAAGCACCTAATTAGGTGACTATGTTTGCATAACTTTGTTATACTTTGACTGAGCCACAATCACTTGTCTGAATGCCTTCTCTACTGGTCCAGTGACTATTATGCAGACCAGAGTGTAAATGCAGATATTTACAATTTACTGGATTTGGTCATAACCTGATATTGCAAATGTGAGAAATGAACATAATGTATACAACAGGTGACCCAGCTGAGCTCTGAGCAGGAGCAGGAGACAGAGGGGTGAGTGGTTTTTTACTTGCTTTCAGCTGAGAGGATTCAGCTGAGGTTTTTGGTGGGAGAACTGGTATGGGAGTGTGGGGAAGCACTTGGAGTTTTTGCAGATTCCTGGCTGCTTGAGAGAGGGAGAGGAAAGGGCATTGTTTGTAAAAGAATTATGAAGCCAGAATGCCAGCAGGGGGTTGGGGGCTATCCAGTGTTTTGCACGGAGTGTCACATGTATGACTATCTGCCCACTGGGCAGAAGTCTTGGGTGTGTCCTCGGTGCAAGGAGCTCCTGGTTCTCAGGGAACGTGTGTGCTCCCTTGAGGCCAAGGTGGCTGACCTGGAGAAGCAGAGACAGTCAGCTAGGCACACAGAAAAGACTCTCGGGGACTTGTTAGCTTCGTCCCACTCTGGATCTGGCAGCCCCGCTGCTGTCAGGGAGCATGAGGGTCTAGGGGAAACAGGGCACCATGCTGAGGATAAGGGGAATGTGCCCTCAGAAGGGACCTCTTCCCCAGCTGGTGAGCGGCTCTCCTTTTGCACCAAGGAACCATCCCTGAGCAGGGTGGGAGGGGGGCTCTTGGTAGTGGGTGATTCGATCCTTAGGCAGGTAGACAGCTGGGTGGCGAACCCGCGTACTGACCGTATGGTGACTTGCCTGCCTGGTGCGAAGGTAGCGGACATTACGCGTGTTTTAGATAGGCTGGTAGATAGTGCTGGGGAGGAGCCAGTGGTCGTGGTGCATGTCGGCACCAACGATGTGGGGAAATGCAGTCGTGAGGTCCTGGAGGAGAAATTTAGGCTGCTGGGCAGGAAACTTAGGTCCAGGACCTCCAAGGTAGCCTTCTCAGAAGTGTTACCTGTTCCACGCGCAGGGCCGGAGAGACAGGCAGAGATCAGGAGTCTCAATGCGTGGATGAGACGATGGTGTAGGGGGGAAGGGTTCAGGTTTGTTAGGCACTGGGATACTTTTTGGAACAAGAGGGAGCTGTACAGGCGAGACGGTCTCCACTTGTCCCGAGAAGGAACCAGGCTGCTGGCACTTAAAATCAAAAAGGTGGCAGAGCAGCTTTTAAACTGAATATTGGGGGAAAGCCGACAGGAGATGAAAAGTCTCTGGTTCGGGTTGGCTCATCTGAGAGAGGTGAGGGGGTACCGGTTGCTTTTCTACAGGGAGGTGGATTGAAATTGTCCACAGAGGCCATGGCTGGTGACATGGACTGCCGGACAACGACTCGAGATAGCAAGAGGAAGGATGCAGGCTTAACTTGTAAGGGAAATTACAGCTGTTTCTATACAAATGCTAGAAGTGTCCGAGGTAAAATCGGGGAGTTGGAGTGCTTGGTGTCGGAGGGAAAAATAGACATTGTGGGTATTTCTGAAACTTGGTGGGATGAGGAAAATCAGTGGGACACAGTGATTCCCGGTTATATATTATATCGGAAGGATAGGGGGGGAAGGGTTGGAGGTGGGGTAGCTCTGTATGTCAGAGAGGGTATAAAGTCTAGAAAGATTGAGAGGCTAAGTGAATTGGATTCGCTTCTGGAAGTTCTATGGGTTGAAATAGGGGGGCCAAAAGGAAACTTAACACTGGGAGTTTGTTATCGCCCACCAGATCAAAAGATAGAGGAGGATTATAAAATGATGAATGCCTTAAAGATAGCAACTAGACAAAAACACTGTGTAATAATAGGTGATTTTAACTACCCACACATTGATTGGGTCAATATGTGTTCTAGCCGGGAAAAAGAGATTGAGTTTCTAGACACTCTAAATGACTGTGCTATGGAGCAGATGGTCACGGAACCTACCAGGGGAGAGGCGATCCTTGATTTGGTCCTAAGTAACACTCAAGACCTGGTGAGAGATGTAAAAGTGATTGCACCGCTTGGAAACAGTGATCATAATGTTGTTGAGTTCATCATTTGTACAAATAGAGAATTGGCCAAAAAGACTCACACAACCATTTTTAACTTTAAAAGGGGTAATTTCTCTGATATGAGGGGACACGTGGGGAGGAAACTGAAAGGAAAAGTAGAAAGGGTCAAAACAATTGGGGAAGCTTGGGATCTATTTAAAACTACGATCCTAGAAGCTCAAAAAATATATATTCCGCAGGTTAGGAAAGGCACAAACAGGTATAGGAAAAAGCCTGCATGGTTAACAAACAGAGTAATGGAGGCTGTAAAAAGTAAAAAGAATTCCTTTAAGCAGTGGAAAGCTAGTCACAGTGAGGCTGATAAAACGGAACACAGGCTATGGCAAATAAAATGCAAGTCTGAGGTCAGGCAGGCAAAAAGGGAATATGAGGAGCATATAGCAAAAAACGTAAAAACCAACAATAAAACTTTCTTCAAATACATTAGAAACAGGAAACCAGCCAGGGAGGCAGTGGGGCCCTTGGACGACCAAGGGGTAAAAGGAGTATTGAAGGATGATAGGGAAATGGCTGAGAAGCTAAATGCATTTTTTGCCTCCGTCTTCACTGTGGAAGATGAGAAGTGCTTGCCCACTCCAGAACCACTGATTTCAGGAGGGGTGTTGGAAGACCTGAGTCAGATTGAGGTGACGAGAGAGGAGGTCCTAAAACTGATAAACAACTTAAAAACTGATAAATCACCAGGCCCAGATGGCATACATCCGAGAGTTCTGAAAGAACTCAAATGTGAACTTGTAGATCTCCTGACAAAGATATGTAATCTTTCCTTAAAATCTGCCTCCATTCCTGAGGATTGGAAGGTAGCTAATGTCACTCCCATCTTTAAAAAGGGTTCCAGAGGAGATCCGGGAAATTACAGGCCTGTCAGTCTGACGTCGATACCGGGTAAATTGGTGGAAACCATTATTAAGGAAAGAATTAGTAGGCACATAGATGAACAAAACCTATTGAGGCAGACTCAACATGGGTTCTGTAAGGGAAGATCTTGTCTCACTAACCTGTTAATGTTCTTTGAGGGGGTGAACAAACATGTGGACAAGGGGGATCCAATAGATATTGTTTACCTTGACTTCCAGAAAGCTTTTGATAAAGTTCCTCATCAAAGGCTCCTAAGTAAGCTCAAAAATCATGGGATAGAAGGACAAGTCCTTTTATGGATCAAAAACTGGCTAGTTCATAGAAAACAGAGAGTGAGTGTAGGTGGGCAATTTTCTCAGTGGAGGGTGGTAAGCAGTGGGGTACCGCAGGGATCAGTACTTGGTCCACTGCTTTTTAACTTGTTCATTAATGATTTGGAGTTGGGAGTAAGCAGTGAAGTGGCTAAATTTGCGGATGATACGAAGTTGTTCAGGGTGGTGAAAACCAGTGAGGATTGTGAGGCACTCCAAAGGGATCTGTCAAAGTTGGGCGAGTGGGCGTCAACATGGCAAATGGGGTTCAATGTGGCCAAGTGCAAGGTGATGCACATTGGAGCCAAAAATCCTAACTATAAATACACGTTGATGGGGTCTGAACTGGCAGAGACAGATCAAGAGAGAGATCTTGGAGTTGTAGTAGATAACTCACTGAAAATGTCGAGACAGTGTGTGACTGCAATAAAGAAGGCCAATGCTATGCTGGGGATTATTAGGAAGGGTATTGTAAACAGATCAGCCAATATCATAATGCCGCTATATAAATCAATGGTGCGACCTCATCTGGAATACTGTGTGCAATTCTGGTCACCACACCTTAAAAAGGATATTATAGCTTTGGAAAAAGTGCAGAAAAGGGCAACTCGCATGATAAAAGGGTTGGAACACTTTCCCTATGAGGAAAGGTTAAAGCGCTTAGGGCTCTTTAGCTTGGAGAAAAGACGACTGAGGGGTGACATGATCGAGGTTTATAAGATTATGCATGGGAAAGAGCAGGTAAAGAAAGAGGTACTTTTCTCCCTTTCTCACAATACAAGAACCCGTGGGCACTCCATGAAATTGCTGAGCGGTCGGGTTAGAACGGATAAAAGGAAGTACTTATTCACCCAAAGAGTGATTAACACATGGAATTCACTGCCACAGGAAGTGGTGGCAGCTACAAGCATGGACGGCTTCAAAAGGGAATTAGATAAGCATATGGAGCAGAGGTCCATCAGTGGCTATTAGCCACAAGGTATAGATAGGGACTCTGGGGCAAGTGATGCTCTGTCATCTTGGTGCTTGGGGGGGGTCAACAGTGGGAGGGCTTCTAATGTCCTGGCCCCACTGGTGGACCTCCTGATGGCACTGGTATTTCTGGCCACTGTGGGATACAGAGTGTTGGACTGGATGGGCCTTTGGCCTGATCCAACATTGGCATCTCTTATGTTCTTATGTCTAGGACACAGAAAAGAAAATACTTTTTTACTCAACAAGTAATTACATTCACTGCAAGTGGAGGTAGTGATGGTCACAAGCACTGATGGCTTTAAAAGGCAATGAGACATGGAGGAGAGGCCCATCCACGCCTGCCAGCCAAGGTGAGTTAAGGAAACCGCCATATTCAGAGGCAGTAAACTTCTGAAGCCCAGTGCTAGAAGGCAAGAGGAGGCCATTGACTCTAGGTACTGTTGGTTGGCTGTTTTGTGAAACAGGCTGATGGATTAGATCGACCATTGCTATGATCTTGAGGGCTTTTCTTATGTTCTTATTTATCCTTATACTTTTGCTCACTCATATTAGGCATTTTTGGAAGCAATGGACCAGTTTTCCCTCTAAGTAATGAAACATGTAAGACCACTTAGCATATTCCATACATACATTCACCTCTTCACCTGAAATGTTTAAAGCGCTTCAAGCTAAATGTTTAGGCTGCTACTGTAATCAATATTGTTCTATGGTCTAAAATGGATTTGCTAAATCATATAGCAAATACGATGTCTAACATAGAATATTTACAGCACACAAATATCAGGAATATGCTCCACACAAGTTTCACTAGAAAATACAGGAGTTGTACAAGGGCATACTTGAGTCACCTCTGTGAAGTTTTCAGACAAGAAATGCCCTAACGGGCTGCCTGCCAAACCTCATTTACCCCACCATTTTTTCATAGTGTCACCTGAGCTACCTGGATGACACAGAATTATGAAAAATTTTATCACATGGGATGGCAACAATGTGACCTGCAACTGCCTCATAATACTGTACTGTATTTAACTTGTCAAGGAAAAAAAGTTTAAAACATGAAACATACCAACACCAACAGCACCAAACTGCTGGCCCACTAAGGGACTTGGACTGAACTGACTGTAGGCTGGCATTCTGCCAAAAGGACCATAGGAGCTCACAGACTGGAATGAAGTAGAAGACGATGATCCTAGAGAAGACTGAAGGAAAGCAGTTGTACAAGACTCAATGCAAGACAGAACAAGAAACATGAATGGTTGGATCCAGCCCGCTTTTTCACTCAATCGTGCCCAATACCTCTCCTTACTACAGCCCTTCTTCCTTTTTCAGCAGCAGAAAAACTGGCTGGATCCAACCCAAAGTCATGAAAGAGGCAAAACAATCATTTTAAACCCTCGGGCTCTTCCAAAAGTTCACCAGTGGGACCTGCATCCAGAAGTGAATGGTAGGAACCAATCACTGCATAATACACATAAGGATGTGCAAAAAATAAAAATCAACATTTTTCGGGTTTGGGTATACTGAACCTGAAAAATATTGGCATTTTCTGAAATTCCTGAATCCCAATGCTGGTATAGTATTTGGGATCTTTCACAAATCCCACATTTTCCAGCTCCATTATACCCTATGGGGACAATTATAGTCAATGAGCCCTATAAAGTATAATGAGGAATGGATCCAGGGGCATCTGGGACTTGGGGGGGGGGGCTGTTTTTGAGATAGGCAAATCAAATTTGTGGCATACCTGCTGGTGCCTCTCCTCAACCTCCCCACCAAGTTTCAAAAAGACTGGACCAGGTAGTTCGATTCTATGGGCTCCCAAAGAAGATGCCCTCACCCTCCACTGGTTTCAATAGAAGGGGGGAAGGATTTAAAGGGATCAGTCCCTTTAAACGCCTTCTCCAAGCTGCAAGTGAACTCTGAAGGCATTTAAAGGGCTTGCAGTCCCTTTAAACACCTTTTTCAAGCAGCAAGTTCACCCAGAAGGCATTTAAAGAGACTGCAATCCCTTTAAACACCCTTTAACTTCGACTATCCGGCAGTCCCAAAAGAAATCCCAAGTGGCTTGGCCACTTTGAATAGCTAGTACTTCAATACTTTGTTTTCCTGAAGATAAACAGGTCTGTCCCCTTTTTTCTTTTGAAAGAAAGTTATCTATACCCTACTAGAAATGGAAAATACAGCAGAATAGACAGTCCAAATGCAGCTCTGTTCCTGTGCCACTTAGCCTCCTGGCACGATTCACTCTGGGTCACTCTAAAAGTAAATTTAACCAAGTGTGATACTGATTTGTTGATTAACACTGTTATATTCCTGTTAAGCTACAAAAGATTCACAGATGTTCAAATTTACAGCAAAGATAGAATGCCAAAAGCTGTCCTGGCAACCGACCAACTATAAACACAAGATGGCGAGGCAGGATCACTAGATACAGAATCTTTCTAGAGCCTTAACTACTGCCTGGGCTTTTAAAAGAAATATGGTGGTGGGAAAGATTTGAGGAGGCAGGATATAAACAGCAGCAACATGACAGCTGCTAAAGTTGCACTGCCCAGAAGAACATACAAACCTTTAAATTCACAGACCGGTTTAAAAGATCACAGGGCACAATGGCAGTGAGCAAATTCACACATCCTCTGTGACAAATTCAACTTGTAAACTCTTTCTGAAGATACACAAAGGCCCTTTTGAAATATAGAGAATTGCATACTCTATAACTAGGCATAGTATAGACTGTACCTGAACAATAGCTGGATCCTGGGGGAGTGAACACTGTGGTTTAGGCGGCTCACAAACAGTCAGATCCTTTATATCGCTGCCACGGAATATAATGTATTCAAATACTTCATCACGAGGTGGTATAGGCCGATCAGTGGGTCTGTCTTCAGTACCAAAGGAACGAACTGCCAAAAAAAAGTTTTAACAAATTATCTAGTATTTTGCACTACCCCATTGCATATGCAGAACATGATGCTGAACATTCACTAGGTCCTCTACACTGACATTGTCAAAAGGCCACATTTAAAAAAAACAAAAAACCCTAAGCTAAAAACAGGCTAACCCAGTTTGACCACAAGTCAGCAAACAGGCAGTCTGCACATCCCCTGAAAACAATTTTTAATTGTCACAGACTACCAGGTTAGTGGCATTTTAGCCTGCTCTAGAAGATGAAAATGGAATGCAAAAGAAAGAGAAGCTCATCTGGGAAGGAAGTCTGGGGGCAGGCTGGTTAGCCATGTCATTAGGGTGTGTGTCAGACTCCTGGGCGAGTTATTCTCAACAACACTCTCTTTGGCAGTGCTATGTTTACTGAGTTATAACAAGGTCCAGGTCATAACAGTACTGTGTCAGTTCTAAAGATTTTGGAGGGTACAATGCAAGACCACCTCTCCTCCCATGTTCCACCATGACAGCTGTCTGAGTGCCACCTTGCAAAGATCGACAACTGCCTGAACATGTGTGTTCTCTGCTGAAGCCCCACCTTGTGGAATGGCCTGCCTAAGCAGGTCAGGAAAGCTCCCATATGTCTGTCATTCTGCAAAGTACGCAGAACAGAACTGTTCAAGAGGCTGTTTGTATACAGGGAACAGAGCTATGTTATAATGGAATGGTGCTTTTATAAAGGGAACAGGACCGTAGAGCATACCACTGTTTACAGTATGTATGTGTTTGCAGTATGCATTATCCTGCTCTCAGTGCACTGTTCTCTACTTATGCAATGCCATTTTCTGCAATACTAGTCCTATGATAATCCTTATTATATGCCATATTTACTTTCCTATCATACTTAAACTTCCTTTCCTGATTTAAGATAAATACACCATTTATAATTTAGCATATAAAATGGTTTTACACAGTTTAGAAGTACAAGTATTTTCATTTTCTATAAGAAAAACTGCAAGTATATTCAGTACTTGAGAAAGAGTTGCAAATTGCTGCACCCTATGCTACCACAGCACATGAATTTTTAACTTTTTACCATCTGAGGCAGGAAAATTAAAAGTAGTCACTGTAGATTGTCCTGCCAATGTTTAGATATAAAGCTTAAGTTTAGAACACTGAAAATTCTGAATATTATCCTTAAACACATTACAATATATTAAATGCCAAAATTATTTACATTTAAACAAAGAGAAACCCTCTTAAAACATTGTACATGTCACGTCTACAGTATTACTGATTTTTATTTTCAGTGCTTCCCCAAATTCCCCAACTTTTTCATGAGACACATTTTGAGCATGAAAAGCCTTGACTTAAGAATAATTTTACTTCATAGGAGTGTTTTTGATCCAATGCTCCCCCTGAGCCTCCCTTGGCGGAGTATAAATCAGAAAATAAATAATTTTTCCAATTTTTTCATTGAACAGTAGGGGGGAAAAGCCCCTCCCCCCGGTCTTCCTTTTTTCCTGGCCCTCCACATCTCTAGTCTCATCCTACTGATTGCACTGTGTAATCTGCCTAGAGTCACAGTAGGAAAGGTGGGCTATAATGAATTTCCTGCCAAGATGTTTGCAATTACAAATACTTAAATTAAAACTTGGTTAATCTGGGGCCACAGCTTTAGCTGGCAGATACTACTTTTAAAATTTGCAAAGAAATCTTAGTATTAATAATCCTATCATACTGGTTATGCATATATATTCAAGAGGAAACATCTTGATTCCTTAAAACTCTCTGAAGGTAAGGCTATGCTACTATAATCTGGAAATGGCACAAATAATTCATGGCAGTGATAGAGAGGCATGTAATAAACCCACAGCCAAAAGCCACAAGGTATCAGAGATCATTATGCATGCATATGGTTGAACGCTCAACTCTGGCATCTCCAGTTGCAAAAATCTCAGGTAGCAGGATGGAGAAAGGTCTAGAGTGCTTGTAGCCAGAATAAACTGTACTAGGCTGAATCAACAAAGTGCACAGCTGCTTCATGCATTTGTTGCAGGTCTGCACGACGTATGTTCTATAGGCAGAACCAATTAAAGAATTATGCCTCTTCAGCAAGAGAATGTTATGATGCCCTTGACTTGAATACGTGCTCTTTAAACTCCCGATTCCTACTGGAAAGTCACAAATCAAAAGTTTTAAAAGGAGGTTTTTAAACCTCAGGATACTGAAAATCCAGTATCAGAAGCCAAAGCAAGAGGCCTGTGCAGTTCCACAACAGAAGCCTTGGTCTAGTGCAGCAGCTCCCATTTGTTGTCAGGTGCTGCATGGTGAAAAATCAACAGAAAGAGGAAGGCACGATGAGGGCTTGGCCAAGAAGCAAATCAATGGTCATATCCTTAAAGTCTCCATGGAGCCAGCTTTGTCAAAGTTACCCAAGACGTCAAATATCAAACAAGAGAGCAAGTCTCATGCAAGTGCTATGGCTGTGCTGGCACGTGCACTGCCATACCTGCTCACATCTAAAGGATGTAGGAAACTTTTTTTTTTTGCTTTTGTGCTGTTGCCTTTGAAAACTGTAAAACAGTTTTGCTACTAAGATAAATGGGAAACTGCACACTGAGGAGCACTGTTGCCCACCCACTGGGTTAATGGACTACACAATAAGCTAAGAATTTCACAGCTTTGCCTAGAATCAATAAAAATTATGTGGTGGTTTTATAGCCTCTTGCTATTTCTAGCGCTGTTTAATTTCTACCACGTATGAAATGTTCTGTGCACTGTAAAAGTAAAACACAAAGCACAACTCACGTGGAGTAGACAAATTTCCTGAGACCAGTTTCTCCAAAGTTACTCACAGAATAACATCTGAAGAAGAGCTGTAAGGGGGCTAATATACTGGGAAGAGAAAGAAGATGTGTGTATGTGTGCATTTGTTTTAGGGTGCTTTGGGTAGCAAGGTAAAGTAAAGGTAAAGGTTCCCTTGCTCGAAAGCCAGTCGAATCCGACTCTAGGGTTGCGGTGCTCATCTCCGTTTCAAAGCCGAAGAGCCAGCGCTGTCCGAAGACGTTTCCGTGGTCATGTGGCCGGCATGACTAAACACCAAGGCACACAGAACGCTGTTACCTTCCCACTGAAGTGGTACCTATTTATCTACTTGCAATTTCTTGCTTTCGAACTGCTAGGTTGGCAGGAGCTGGAACTAGAGACGGGAGCTCACTCCGTCATGTGACAACCCGGGTCTTGAACTGCTGAACTACCGACCTTCCACAGCCTGCAGTTCAGCGTCTTAACCACTTGAGCCACTGCAGCTCCATTTGGGTAGCAAAGCAGGCGATAAATATAATAAATTTCCCTTGCCATGTGTGTTAAGGTAACAACTTTAGCCTTCTTATAGTCCATCAGCAATCACAACTTGAAGCAATGACTTAGCAGGGACATATTAAAGCTACCATGCTCCAGAGAAACAGAACATAACATAAGGAATAGAACAGGTATTATAGACACTCATGGACAGCAGAGGCAAGAACATGTGAACTTATGAAGCTGCCTTATACTGAATCAGACTACATCAGCACTGCTTACTCAGACTGACAATGGGTCTCCAGGATCCTTTTAGCTGGAGATGTTGGGGATTGAACTAGGGACCTTCTGCATGCAAAACAGATACTCTACTATTGAGCTGTAGCCCCTCCCCAAGAAGAAGAGTCTTCCTTTTCCCAGCAGGTCCTGCTCCAACTAAAACAATCCAGCAGTTGCTGCTGTCATGAGAAAGACTGCCCTGGGGGACCTGGTGGTACAACAGCCTCACAGAAGGTCCATCTGCCTGCAGCTGCCGCTCAGTCACAAAGTGAAGCAACATCACAGCAGAGGAAACACCATTCTTTGCATTTCCCTTGCATAGAGAAGGTGGGCATATGAACTACATTTGCTAGCAGGTTCCCTTCCCAAACTATTTTTGACAAGGCTAGAGAATTCTCTACTCAGGCCTTCTGAAGAGATACAACAGTGTGTCTGCAAGTTCAAGGACATTTCCCTGAGTAGCATGACTTTCACAGTTCACCCCACCCAGCAGTCTGAAATGCCCCCCCCCCCAAAATCCTACTCCTGGGGGAGACTGAACTCCTTGGAACAGAACTGTGGGGCATTTTGGGCTACCACAGGACACAGAAGCTGCAAAATACACACTCTGCAGGAAGAAGTCCTTACTTCCTCAGAACTACTACTCTGGATCCAACCCCCAGTGGTCAAGTGTTGTTCATGGCAAACACATTCTTTTCATCACACCTAGACAATGAACTGCTCACAAGAAGGGGGACAACAGAAACAGTCAGGTGTGATTTTACCTGCCTCTCTCTTCATTCTGTAGATAATAAATAAATAATAATAATCTTTCAATTTATTAATCATTCAATCCTGCAGAGCTTGCTGGCTCTGAGCGATTTCACGCGGGACTAACAACAATTTATGGGGGTAAGGGAGGACGACATATATCTTTTAAATCACACACGTTCGCAACCGGTGGGGATTTGTTCAGCTGCAGGGTCAGACGTGTTCCGGCGGCATATTCACTTCGGCTTGGCTAGATGATGTCAGCTTCTCCAGGTCTTCAAGTTGCAGCGCCGCACTGCCACCGCCTGGCCGGAACGGCCCATTACAGGCTTCTCGGAGTCAAAGAGATTTTTCTTAGGCTTTCAATCTTGCGAGCTGAGCATTCCGTTCGTCGGATAACACCTCCCCCACCGGGGCAGGGGGTTTGGTGTGCCCACCCTCTCTAGGGAGTGGTACCCATTTCATCTACTCACCGAAGCTTTCAAACTGCTGGGTGGACGGCGAGCTGGGGACAGGGCTGGTAGCTCACACCAGCACTGACAGCTCAGATGTTACTATAACCAGAAGATAAATCCTCTGTGCCACCGCTCCCCTTAATTAGTTAATTAGTCCCCTTAGATGTGGACTAATTAACTCTAAAGACTGTGGATTTGGACTAATTAACTCTACAGAAACCCCAACCAAACCA